GTGCGCGCGCGTGCGCGCGCGTGCATGCACCACTCACCTGGGGAACACCTGGTACCAGGCTGCACTATGGGAAGTGCTTTGGGCAATGTTATGCTGGGAAACCTTGCTACTGGAACACTCTTAGGAACCCCTAAACACTCCCGTGGGTCATTTTGGGAACTGTAATGAACTGTAAAATGGAGAAGATGTTCAACTCTGCTGAAGTAGATGTTCTTTTGAAGTTGAGGAGCTTTATATTTTGCTTTTAGGTTTCAACTAATGATGAAAATCTGTGTGGTATAAAGACTGCAGAAAACAGACTAAACCAGTGGTGTCTCAGTGAGTGAGCGTGGGCTTATAATGAATTTCAAACACACCTAATCAATCTTCTGTGAAAATAAAAATCCTTTTAACTGTTCCAATCAAATCCTCGATGATCAAAAGAGGTGAGGAGAGGCTTCAGTGAAATAAACATGGAATCCTGGAATGAATTACAGGACAATACCAGGATTAACAACAAGATCAAAGGCAGGTGCACTATCACACTACAAAGGCAGTGTGTCACCATGTGACTGTCAGTGTGCATGGTGTGAACAGAGGAAGAGTGGGTATGGTGTCTGTGTGCGAGGCAGAGTGAATGACTGTAAAATCAAGAGGCAGTTACTTTGACAGACCTTTGTTTAAAAAATATATCTGCATGTGGGTGATACCAAATATTAAATGTCAAAGAATTTTTTCCATGTTTGTTTGTTCTCAAACAATATCTGAGTCAACCAAAAAATGCAAAAATTACCTTAAAGACTGTGACGAGCATGCTAGAGCAACAGGTGGCAACATGTAGCACTGTAAAAAAGTATTTTCCCTTTCCTGATTTCTTAGTTTATTGCACATTTGTTGCACTTAAATGTTTCACTTCAAAATAAATGAAGTAACTAAAGTAAAAGCTAAAAGTTGTTTTTAAATGATAATTTCATCTATTAAGGGGGGAAAAGCTGGACCAGTGTGAAAAACGAATTGTCCCCTAAACCAAAAAGCCACCCTTGGCATCTGTTCAACACTGCTCTGTGGAAGAATTTAAGCCCACTTGTTTTTGTAGATTTGTTCTAATTTGGCTAGCCTTTTTGAGGTCATGCCAAAGCAGCTCACTCAGATTTGACTTTGTCTAAGCCACAACAAAACCTTCATTTTGTTGTTTTCAGAAATTCAGAGCTGGATTTCCTGATGTTTTCAATCATTGCCCTGCTACATAATCCAAATGCATTTGCCTTTGTGTTTTGGGTCAGCAGTGGTCCTCTCCTTGGAACTTTCCCATGGATGCTACTTTTCTGCAGTCTCTTTCACACTGTTGAATCATGAACACCGACCTTAACTAAGAAAAGTGAGGCCTGCAGTTCTTTAGATCATTTAGAATTTAAACGATTTTTTGATTCAAAAAGTCTGTCAGTAATCAGACCCATGTGTGGCCAGTGAAATTCAGCTTAGCTTTCTAAAGCTAGGAAAGTTCACAATCTAACAAGTGGAGGCCAATTACTTTTTCACACCAGGTAGCTTTGAAAACCATTTTTCTCTTATTAAATAAAAAAATATTTAAAACTGCATTTTCTATTTACTTGGGTTACATTTCACTAATGATAAAAATTATTTAATGATCTCACACATGTAAGTGTGACAAATATGTGAAAAAAACGAGAAATTAGGAAGGGGGTAAATACTGGCCAATCAAGAGACTGGAATCAGTAAGAGGTCCCACAACCAAGAAGATAGGTGGACACCTCTGACATTGCAAGAGAAATTGTTTGTTTTCCATATCAACATTTAACTGCAGAAATTGAGTTTCTGAAAATCTTCACCAGGGAAGAGCTCAGTTTTCATTGTTAAGTAAAGGCCCTACAATAAGACAGAGAAAACCCAAAAAACCAAACAACCCCCTATGAGCAAGCACTTGGGGAAGTGGGAAGGTAAAACCTTTTTAGAGGAAGGAATCTCCAACAGAACAAGAATTCACTGTCTTCCCACAGTCCACAGGCATGCCTGTTAGCTTAACTGGTGATTCTAAATTGGCCGTATGTAGGTGTGAATGTGAGTGTGAATAGCTCTCTCTCGTTCTGTCTCTCTCTGTGCTGACACTGTGAGGGACCGGTGGCCACTGTGCACCCCACCTATCACCAAAAAGCAGAATCAATGTGCTCTGCACCACCCGAAACCCTGAATTATATAATTGTTAAATAAAAATATTAAACCTCCACTGCTCTGTTTTGTGAACAGCTTGGACAACTTGATTTTGAAGCTTTTTGCTGATATGAGTGAAAAGTGGAAACAGTTTCTACATTTTTTTAAAAGAAGGATTAGATTTCAATCTCAGTCCTCTACATGTGACCCACTGATACATAATGTACTCTTTTCTCTTTTGTCATAGTAGGTCAGGTTACAGGTTACAATTTAGCGGCATGCAAAACAAGTGTCGTTTCAGAAATGTTTTTTCTCACATGCATTTTGTTACTTCAGTCCTCTGTTAAAACATTCCTCCTCTAGAGATGCCAAATGGGTACAAAGTCAATACAAGCGGTTGATGTAGACCTTCAGCCTAACCGAAAAGAGCTCACCTGGTGGATGGCATGAGGTTAAAGAAACCATGTGATAGGCAGTAAAATGACTATAAAGACATAAAAACAAAAACAACATGTAGCTCTGCAGATTTTACCCAAAGGCTGGAAGGCAGAAATGTCACTGCCTCCTAATCTAGCACACTCGATATGTCATTCTCATTGTCTCAACCCAAGGCTGTCAGACGCTATTGCTCCAGATAAGGATTATACCCAATTCATCATGAAGGAAGTGTGTGCGTATGTGTGTGTGTGTGCGTGTGTGTAAGCATGTACCGAGGGACTCTGGGTGTAATCTGGGAGCTCATTTGCTAATGCCACACTGCCGTCTATCTCTCACACGGCATTATGGGTCTCCAGTTTCCCTTCAGGCTGCAGTGACATCATAGCACACCTCAGCGCAAGAGGGGGTGGTGTGTGCCGGGGGGTGGGGGGGCAAACCTAATATTTATGTTTGCTGACTATTAATAATAACACACAATGAATTCATATACTATCCATGATTCACCAATAGTCCTAATTATCATTTAAATATTGGAATGGATTAGAGTATGCATGCAGTCTTTTTCCTTCAGCTATTTTAATTGTGTGTTGTTGTTTTTTAATTCTCATCTTCGGGTTTATGTAAGTTCTCTGCCCCCATTGTCTTTTCATATTCTTTGTCCCATGTTTCAAAACACAACATTTTCTTTTTAAAAAATAAAAAATATGATTGATTAGTCAGTATAACTCACAAAATCCACGTGAGAGCTGATTTTTCTGTACTTTTTGTTGTCACAGATGTTTTCAAACTCTGCAAAATTTCTGCTTTTTAACATGTAGCTCTGCATAAATGTTTGTAACTACTCTAATATTGCAGTGCACAGAGCTTTCAGGCCAGATATACATTTGGCTTGTCCCCCCAGTGTGATTTCCCCCACAGCAGCAGCAGCAGTCACTCCACTTTCACTTCTCTTCTTTTCACCTAGTGGGAACTCTTATTATGTAATGCTCCTCTCTCTCTCCTCCTCCTCTTTCTCTCTTTCAGATGCACACATCGACACGCCCCTTCCTCACGTTTCTCCCTGCTAAGAACATCTTCTCTCCTGAGGCAGAGGCAACGCATCCACCAGCCGTGGAACACTAGCGCTTCTCCTCGACCTGCCACGCGGAACAGTCACCACTCCTATTCGTGGTCATTTCTGTCAGGAGGTCCGCTCTCTGACCCCAACCACAGTACGCAAGGAAGCGGTCATAGGAGCAGTTAGGAGCAATCTCGTCCAAAATGATGAATATAACAGAGTTACCCAAGTAACGGAAGTAACATTTTCAAAATAAGAGCAGACCATTTCTACATCTGACGTTACATCGGTACACTGTTTCGTATTTGGCAAAAATCGATTGTGAGAAATGACTACGTGATTTTTATTCTGTTCAGAAATTTCTTTACATTTATTTGTTTATTATTAATAAGATTCAACTTCAATGAAATTTTTATCTAAAATAAATAGAATTAAATCACAGTGTTATACTAGTGTTAAACCTTTGAAAATTATTTCAAAGGTATCTTCACTACATGTTGTTTTTACAACAATAAATACTAATACCAACTGCAACAGTAACAATAACAAATTTCAGTTTTTATTCAAATTTTTCAACAGCCTAGAAAGACATAGACATATTTTTGCTCCTGGTGTCCTCTGGTCTGTTGCAATCCTGTGAAACTGCAAAACTGAAAATATCCAACAAATATCAGTTTTGACGTCAAAAAATGTAAATTTAGTTTAAATAATGTTAAATCCTTGAAGCTCTTAATGGTTTGGCTCCAGGTTACATCTCAGATCTTCTTAGCCTGCACTTACCCACTCGAATGCTGCGCTTCAGATGCTTTTATTAGTTCCATTTTATTAGTTCCACGCTCCCAGTTCAAATTTGGAGGTGACAAGGCTTTCTCCATTGCTGCCCCAAGACTCTGGAACAGACTTCCCCCTTTTATAAAATCCTCTTCATCCTTGGAACTCTTCAAATCGAATCTGAAGACCTACCTATTTTCCAGGGCTTTCAGATCTCTCTGACACCTCTTTTATTCTGTTTTAGCTATTCTGGTCTTTTATCTCATTGGATGATGTTTGCATGTGTATACTTATACATGTGTGCTTGTGTGTGAAAGTGTACATTTTTGTATTTGTATGTGCATATTTGCATGTACACATATTTTTATTTTACAAAAATATATGGATGTCTCACAATGTTTTCTATAATGTTTTCATATTATCTATTTTAATTCTTTTTATTATATTATCCCTCTGTTCAGCACTTTGGCCGACACTTGATGTCTTTTAAATGTGCTCTATAAATAAAGATGACTTGACTTGATCCTATCTAGGGAAATATTTGGCTACCTAACTAAAATAGAACCATAAGTTTTATTTTGAAGCTTGAAACCGGATGTGTAATTCCTTCACAGTCTGGTGAACTTTACGAAGCCATCCAAAAGCCAGTCGTATCTCCTCCCGTCGAGGAACTTCAGTACCCGTACAGTAAGCTTGTGTGCCTCTGCCTCCTCGCCTCAGGTTCTCGTACCTTTGCACCACCACCGGGGGTACCGCCGGAACGCTCGTGAGAGAAGAGCGCCATGGCCCGTGTGGTGGTTGAAGCGATGCCGGAGACAGTCGGAGGAGGAGGAATGATGCTGAACCGGCGGAGGAGCAAAGCCAGGCGAAGAAAGCGAAAGGAGTTGTTCGTCGTCCAGATGTGCTTTGCGGGGGTACTTCTGGGGGTTGTCGTTGGGCTCAAGACTGTGGCACAGAAAGCAGGTGAGGGGCACTTTAAAGCTCTGTTTCCTTCTAGTTTGAGTGCTTGTTTTTTGAGAAAAGACAACGTTCATGCGGAGTTTTTCCACAAGCAGGAACAACAGGCTGCTCGGAGGAAGAGAAACATAGAAACAGAACATTGGTACGTATTGTTTCCTTAAATGTGACAATAACCTTTAAGGACGCTACAGTGAAGCCAGTTTTGGGAACATTTAGAGTAAAAAACCCGCAAACAGGACAGTTAGAGTATATTAACATGAGATGTAATATAGCAAAATATTAAATGTCAAATCTTAAAGTAAGCACTGTAAACGTTTAGGTTGATATAATGCCTCGCGTGTGTGCGCTCAACACCAAAAATACACCGCAGAAAGCGTGAGGATGTCTGCAGACAGATCAGGCTGGATTGGGGCACTGTATCAGCTCACATGTACAGTCACGTAAATAACGAAATAACAACAGCATGCCTTCATGTTCAGCATCTGTAACTAATAATGCCCTGGAAATGGAAGCTGTGACTGTGTTGCCTGAATTGCTTTACAGAAATCCACTTTCCTCCTCCTACAGCCCTGTGGCTGCAGCTGATAGGCCGAGGTGCTGATGTACCCGGCACTCTGAACTCTGATGATACTGATGAATGATCGTTGCTGACGAGCTTGAGGCTGACGTTCTCTAATATAAATTAAACGGTACACTTCACAAGCTTATGGCAGCTGAGTGGGATGCTCATTAGACCGGCCTCTGAGGGATCTGCTGTCATAATCAGTCCTACCTTTTGAAGAGTGTCTGTATTTAGTTCTGCGCTGCCCCCGTGTCTTTTTCCCATAAGGTCTTGTTTATGTCCATGTCACCTGCCTGGCAAGTGCTGGGAGTGAGGCAGACCGGTTGGTGACATCCTGAGGATTTAAACTTAACACATCGCTCCTTGTATCTTCTTGTATAGCTCTTCAAGCGCTCCAGATTTGTTGCTTTTTAATCTTACAATGCATTGCCTTTGAGCAAAGGCTTACCAGTGGTAATTTTTCAGTAAATTGGCAACTGAAAAGTCAGATCTTTTGTGTGTGTGTGTGTGTGTGTGAGCCGAAGCTTCTATGGGGAGAATGTGAAATCATTACAGAAGCATTAGCAAAATGCCAGATGTCCAAAGTATGTAATTATGAACCGCAAGAATTCATCATCAGTGGGGATATTTTTTAAGTTATAATTTTTTTAGTCTTGATTGTCAGTCTTAAAGTCTTAATTGATGAAGGAGTGGCTGTGTTCTTAGGTATGGTTATTTTACATCCACTGCTGAAGCCACAGAACAGTAAGCATCAGCATAAACACATATCATGAAAGTAAGTAAAATGTTGTTCTGAAAGGATCAGTCGAGAAACTGAGGAGTTCATTCAAAAGCAGTCAGTAATATAGAATTTTTTAAAAATGGTTACTGATGCTTTTCACGGGCTGTGAACTTCAACGAGAGCATTTTTCATACTCAGCTCGCTAATTGAATAAAAGAAATCAGCATGCAGTTTATTGATCGGTGACGTTGCGGGATTCTTTCTAGTGTGGGGCTATGGATGCAGTCGTCGGACATTTGGATCAGATGTAGATCTGCACAGTTAACATCGCACAGAGGAAAATGTTCAGCTTGGAGGCATTTCAAGCTCTACAGCAAGTTTATGTGACTTAAATGTGGTCAAAGGGAAAAAACACGTATGACACTTTGACCCTCATTAGGTCAGAGAGACGGTATCTACAATAGAAGGTAGGAGAACGGTTCGGTGTGACATGCTGAGAAGCTTCTGTCATACTCATGGTAACCTAAATTCTTTGAGCTCCACATATTACACTTGGGAAGGGAGAAACAAGCAAAAAGACTATGAATGATAGTAGTTTGCAGAATTTCCGTTGTATTTATTATGGGGCCACTGACATTTAATGTTTCACTCATAAATACCAACAGTTCAGGGCTTTTATATTCTTGGATTTACTTGTTTGTTTAATTTTGTTATACAAAGGTAGTAAAACCTGATGTTTCCTCACGTATGGAGAACAATTTACAGTCTCTTCCTTACAGTGACGATTGCAGCTTATTAATTTAACACCAGTATTGGATCAACACTCAAGAATGGCTATGAGAAGAAGCCAGAATATGTGGAGAATACCCAGTCGGGCTGCTCCAGCCCAAAGACATGCAGTTTGTGGCGTTAGGTTAACTGGCGATTCTAAATTGGCTCTAGGCGTGCATGTGAGTGTGAATACAGGGTGGGCCATTTATATGGATACGCCAAATAAAATGGGAATGGTTGGTGATATTAAAGTCCTGTTTGTGGCACATTAGTATATGTGAGGGGGCAAACTCCTCAAGTTGGGTGGTGACCATGGTGGCCATCTTGGATGCAACTTTTGTTTTTTCAATAGGAAGAGGGCAATGTGACACATCAAACTTATTGGTAATGTCACAAGAAAAACAATGGTGTGCATGGTTTCAACGTAACTTTATTCTTTCATGAGTTATTTACAAGTTTACCGTGTTAGCTCTGGGGCAGACTGATGACCTGTCCAGGGTGTACTCTACCTCTTGCTCTGTGGCAGCTTGGATAGGCTCCAGCGCCCCTCCAGTCCATGATAAGTGGAAGACAATGGATGGATGGATGGAGTCAGCATTGTCACACACCTACAGCCTAGGCAATGCTTCGGAAAAAGATGTATCATTGCTGGATCAACTTTGAGCATGGCTGGTTGAAGTACAGTAAATAGACTGGATCTTATCCACAAGTGGTACTAGAAATGTACTGTGTACACTGGCTTCCTCTGCAGACACTGTTATTTGACTTTCTTTGGTTGAAACATCTGTTTTGCTTTCTCAGTTTCGGCTTCTCTAACAGAACAAACTCACATCTTCTTCGTGACCTTAAGTTCATACGTGCTTTGTCATATGTAGAAATGATGTGTGTCCGTATGCAGATTGCAGATAGCAAGACTGATACATTGAAGTAAAATATCAGAGGGACATATCACATTATTTAGAGTTTAAAGAGCAAATAATTGCATCAATAACTTCTTGTTAACCTCCCACTCACCCAAATATAATACATTTAAAATCATTGAAGCTCCCAGTCCCAACTTTAGACTGATCAATTTTAATCATCACGTTACCTCATCAAAGAGTTTCTAACCATTTCATTTCAGTGGAACAATCATTTACTTGCTATGAACACGTGTTTGTTCATGGAAACGTTTTGGGCCTCATTGATGCATTTGGGCTCATTTTTGTCCAAAAATTCAGACTTCTGTCTTGGTGTTGGAACTAAAAGGATTGGACGAGTGCATCCATATTCATGAGTCAAACAACAGAACAGGATCTCTTGAGAAACCTGCTAGTGCTCAAAAGAATGTTCTTAGTAGGAGAAAATAGTCGAGCCCCACAGATTCTCTTAAATTGATTGAAAACTGGCATTTCAAGCATACTTGGACGGATATGCAGAGTGATTAGGTCAGCCCTGCAACTTCCTAGGACAGCTTCAGAAAAATGATGTGGTCAATGTCTGAGTTTACTTTCAGTCAGACCAATAAGTGTTTAAATGACTTGTAAAAAATAAGCTTTTATCAATGTGCAGGGAGCTTGGCAAGTCTCTCAAATGCAGGGATCCAACTTTGAATTTCAGCTTTTTGAGTCAGAGCTGCCGCAACATTGTTGAGCTGGGTGAACTTCTCCATGGTCCAATTGTCCGATTATCCTGTTGTCCCCCTGTCAGGCTGGGGGACAACAGGATACCCTCACTGTGCCCTCATTAAGGTTTCCACCCTCCATAATGCATGCAATGTAGCTGTACACACAACAGAGCTCTCTCGCCAGTGCTGTTGCTCATGGAGAGAGACACACTGGGAGTTTCCATCGTGATGAGAAGGACGGGAGCCTGTGATAGTGGGAGAACCTTGTGTACATGCAGTGATGAATGATTGAGGCAGCTGTAATTAGAGGCCACAGATGGACAGATACGAGCTGAAAAGGCTGAAGTGGTATTAAGTCAAAACATTCACCTGGTTCTTTCATGCACACACACACAAAGATCAAAGTCAAACTTCTCTGTTAAATGCAGAGATGTTGTTATAATAAGGTAATATTGGTTTAATGCAGTAATACAAGAATACAAGTTAAAAATGCATTGATTGGCAAACTGTTGATGATCACGTTGACTCCCGCCAGTCCCCATGACTATGGCTGCATGACTGCGTCCAAAATGAATGTTGCAGTTATTTTTAATTCAATTCAATTTTTTTCATATAGCGCCAAATCACAACAAAAGTCGCCTCAAGGCGCTTTATATTGTACAGTATTAATATTGAGATAAAAGTTATTTGTCATGCTTCTTCATTTATTTGTGTGACAAGTAGTTTTTATTGCACTGCCATATAAACATCACACTGACACTGGTATCCAGGGGGTGGCTGTAGCTTAGGAGGCAGAGCGTGTCCTCTGCTAATCGGAAGGTTGGTGGTTCCCTGGCTCCCCCAATCTGCATGCCAAATATCCTTGGGCCAGATACTAAACCCTGATGGGTTCATCTGTGAATTCTAGATAGAATCTGTGTGTGGATGGGTGAAGGAGGCATGTTCGCTTTGAGTAGAAAAGTGCTATGGAGGAACCAGAACCAGCCCATTTCAGTTGCAACACTGACCTGCGTTACAGGCTGATTCCACGTCAGATGCTTCCCATTAGCAACCACTGCTTTATTTTTCTTGGCATTCATGCAGTTGTTACACTGGTTTTCTGGCAGTTGAGTAAGTTCTGCAGCACTCTGCATATTATTGGTTGGTTAACGTCATTCGTATTTTCCAAAACCTAAGTTGATTCCCTTCAAGTGACAAGCTCTTTACATTCTGCTGTGCCAGACGTTTAGTTTCAGCGTTGTTTATTTTGTATTTATCTATTAATATAGTGTAGTCAGACTCAGTCAGACGTTTCCACTGTGTGCTAAAATGTGCTTTTGATCGTGTTTATTTAATTGTGGGAT